TGGGCGGGAGGCTCGTTTTTTTTCGGCGCGCACGCAGCGGGCTAAGAGAAGATCCGCTACGTGCGTGCTCAATGCATTGGAGGATTATACTCCTCGAGGAAATCAAAATGAACCACGCAGGAAAGCATGGCTGCGCCGGAATCAAATATTCCCATTCGTTTCAGCTTGAAGCAGGCATGACCCGGGATCATCCCTACGCTGTCTATTTCTAGCCTGCCACAGATAAGCGGGGAAACAGATCCTTGCTCCTAACCGCATTGATGCTCCACCGCTGGGAAGTAATTTAATTATTCATTCGTTCATTTATTTTCGATCCTATCAGTTTCTATTAGGACTATAATAGAAGAGGAGCAGATTAAAAAAAAAAAAACGAAACAAAATATATAAATTCCAGCGAAAAAAAAACAAACACAGAAAGCAAGAACGTTCTTGACAGGGTCAATGCACTCAACCTGTACGCGACTAGGGCACCGAAGCAACGGACAGAGCATTGAGAGTGACTTCAGCACTAAGAAGAGCTTAAAATGAGTAGAAGGGTTGCGAAGAAGCACAATCGATATAAATACTTGCTTTGCAGTATTCAAATTAAAAAAAGAAGTAAATAAAGAAGTGTCTGGAAGCAATAATGTATCGACAACGTACTTTTGAAGAGTGACAGATATAGTTTTACGCAAATTTGAAAAAGTGCATATAAATTGCTGTTTACTGCGAATGCTATGAATACGTCGTTGATTTCCCTCTTGATCGTATGTCCTTATTACAGGGGTCGTCTCAACTGTCGTGAGGCCAACGACACTGCATTGAACCAACATGATACAATATGGCTGAACGAATACCCAGTGGCGTCACTAGGGTCAACGGCACCCGGGGCGTTGGCCCGCGGCGACAACCCCCCCCCCCCCCCCCCCTCCGCTCGGCGCCCACCACGATCCCCCCCCCCCCCCCCCCCCCCCCCCCCCCGTACGCCCCTTGTGACACCACTGCGAATACGTTCTTTGACAGCTCGTGATCCCCCACGGGTGTAGCATACCTTGTAACATGACAACCGGAGTGCAATACCTAGAGTAATTCTAACCGGCTGGAAAATACACGTGGTGCAAGATCAAACATCACGAAATGCTTCGACGAAAAATACAAACTAGCAAACCAAAATTCCGGATCCGAGGAGTTTTACCGTGAAAGAAAATAAGATAAAAGAAAAACCGGTACGTTTTCTTAATCTTCTCATCTTCCCGTAGGACACTCGAAAAAAAAAATCTATTTCCGGAGGCCTTATATTGGCACCTAACGTAGGGGCCATACCCTTCCAAAACTTTCAGCGAAGTGTCGGTTTCCAGTAGTAGCATTCCAACATGTTTCTTTTTTAGTTCTTTCTACCTTTCTTTACGACTAATTCGTGCTTTGTTTCGTTCAACACTGGCAGAGCATGCGAAGTCCACTGTAGAGATCGTTGTCCACAAACAGTCCGGGTCAACTCCAGAATTAATAAAGCTTGGACTTGGGTTTGGGCTAGTTGGTTGTACATTGATAGACGTGCTGCTCTGCGAAGTTCTACAGAACAAACGCGTGACCAAAATTTTGGTCACGCGTTTGTTCAGTAGAACTTCGCAGCGCAGGACGTCTATCAACTCCAGAACTCGGCATGCCCGGACTGTAAACACTAAAAACGAATGCTTAAACGTCCACCCGAGCACCTGCACTCTAAGAAACCTCCGTGAGCTCAGTTGCCTGCATAACACGAAGACGGTCAATCGCATGACACATTTTTTTCTTCTTCTATAATCGCATTTTGAATTGTGTAACTGGCTAGGACCCTTCTCTTGATTGCCGTGTCGACTGTCTTTCTGTTGTGTAAGTGAACTCCGTGTTTTTTAGAAACTGCACTGCGCGACACTGTTAGCACGAACACTACTTTTGGCGCTTTTTCGCATTTTGCTTCGAAAGGGTACATTTCGGGCGTCGATATTCTCCACTATGGTTAGTACTCCAACTGAGCACTTTCCACCTTTATACAGTAACACGCTGCTTACAAACAATCCCGCGTTCGCCCTCACTATAGGTATGAACACTGAGTGCGTGCGCGAAGAAATTAGATTCGCGTGAGACCAGTCGTCTGCGCTTGCGCAGTGTGGACAGCAGCGACACCTCAGTGGCGTCGCGTCAGAGAGTTGGCTTGGTGCTGATGACAGTTTGGGGACGGTCTTTGAATGCTGAGAGAAAATCAGAGAAAACCGGCGATGGCTTGTTCGCACTAGCATTGTCGCGGAGTGTATGGATCAATGGTTGGATGGATATGAACAGCTGTACAGTTTATAAACGCGTGGTAGCTCGCGCCATCTAGCCTGAAAAACCAAAACGCAGGATACCTCCCCCCCTCCTACAACCCTATTAGGTCAATTTCCCTCCCCTTTCCATTTTTGTAACCATCACTAGGTAGTGTGGATATCGTCAATTTTCCGCTGACGAAACCTTCTTGGCGTCACCCCAATACCGGACCCACTAGTACAAAGGGTTGAGATTTTGGACCGCGGCCACGCTTTATGGAGTCCCAATTTTCCTCTGTCCCGCCTGTCCCCCAGCTTTGCTATTCGCGTCTCCAGCTCGACGGTCGCCCTCCCGCGGCGGAAACGGGAAGCGCGGTAGTGAGGGTCCCCCGATTCTCCTGCCCAGCGGGTACGACGGAAATTCTCGCGATCATGGCTCGCGAAATGTCGTTTCCGAATGCAAACAACACTCTTCACTGTCCCAATGTAGTGCTGCAGCCGGTATGGGATTGTACCTTACTGGAGAGTTTTAGTATTGCGCATAGAAGCGAACGCAAGCGGTGTGCGTTTCCGTTAGGGTTGCAAGTCCCACGTTGTGCGTGCGCCTCATCGCCAGGCGCCATCCAAGACCGCAATTTCGGGCTCCACGCACGCGCAGTGTGGAACGCGCAGTGTGGAACGCGCAAAGCTAACGCAAACACACAGCACTCGCGTTCGCTCGTATACCCAATACTAGAACTCACTACTGTTTCACCGGCTTCCAACGCCAACGAAACGTGCTGCAGTGAGCAGACGTGCAAGCAAGTAGGCGTTCCTTCGAACTGCAAAGGCTGAGATTGGAAAAAAAACGACGGAGCGTAAAAATGAGAGTAACTAAATGTTATAAAACAATTAATAATTTAATTTTTTTTTTCTTTTGGGCATTTGGTTTGGAAAAATATTGGCTGCAACTTAAGTTTTGCTGCTTGTCAAAAGTCGCGACTTCGATAGAAAAATATACTTTAACCACAATTAATGTAATTTTACATGGATTTCTCACAATAGCTAGAAGGTTTTCATCGACTTAGACTATTTTTATTTTATTACTTGGTAATTAAAAATGCTGCAATTGGCAACGGTGATGATAATTAACACAGTTTTGGTCGTCATATTTGTTCGCGCGTTTGAAATTAGATCATAAGCAAAGCTTGAAATATTACGTATTACAATAGCTGAATTTTAATATTATCATTAATACCAATCGTGGCAATGTTGGCCCCAAATTAACGCCAGAATCACGAAAATATGCCATTTTACCATTATAGTCTATCCAGAAAGGTATAATCTTGTTTTCTTTTTAGCATATGAAAAACTCTGACATCGTTACCAAGATAGACTAACAGTCAAACACTGGATGTAATATAAAGTCCTATGCGTCACGCGTTGATATAAAACTTGCACACGCACACACTTCAGCTGTCTAACTCAGATTCCGTCTTTGGGTTGTTGCAGTGAGAACAGCGTTTATTAATTTATACGTTTTGTGGACATTTCTAAAAATTGGAATTCTCTTATTCCTGTGCTGGGAATAATGTTAAACCAATTAATCATCTAAAGACCCAAAAGCCCATTAAAAGGCCCGCAGTTCATTATTTCCCATGACAATTATCTGAGCGAGAAAAGGCAGCGAGAACGCACAAATATCAGCCTGGATCGGACATGTATGTCACGAAATAAAGTTTCCGCGAACAATTTTTCTAACTAGATAATTTTCGATGTGAGACACATTGAGAGGTATGAAAGAATCCGAAATTAAGACCTATACTGAGAAATTAAATCCAAAATAGAAGCTAGTTTCGGTTTCCTCCAGAATCAAAACGCGCATCCTTGCGTAAATATTACGCTAAATACCGTTCTTGTTTTCAGGGTAAAGAGGCGACCTGCGCCCATAACACCCTAGCTTCCCCGTATTACCAGAAATAATTTGTGTCGCTCAGTAAAGCCAGCACACTAGACAGGCTCAAGAGCCGGCACGCATCTCTGACCCTCACTAAACCCGCCATCTTGGAAAATGAGTGGCGCCACCTATAGTTAGTTGGAGTCGCGAATACTCCGTTTCACTTTGAGTGCAAGCGAGTTCGAAGCTACAAGCGCGAGCATATGGGCTTGAACAGTGCTTGCACTGCACGATCGCGCATGCTTGGCGGGGACGCTGAAAGTCCGGAGATCGCTCTTGTAGCTTCCGCCATGCTCACACCTAAAAGTGAAACGGAGTATAGGAGGTATTCACTGGACGCCATATTTGAGGGCGATGTTTAGAGCGCATGCTCAGAACGAGCTCACATTAATAGCCTGCTAAGACCGGCAACCTTGATGGTGCTAAATGCACGCTCCAAAAGGTCTGCGGAAGCTCGCCGTCAGCACGCGCTCAGCAGCAGCGCACACGGATATGGCCGCCAGTGCATACTCCCTATAGACCTTTATAATGTTTACAAATCCACAGCTCAGCGTGCGATCTTCACAGCTCAGCACGCGCGTGTGCGTCGCTCCGGAAAACGAGCAAAGCACGCGCCATACGCACGAACACTGGAAATGGCACCGGCCATACGCTCTTTCTTGGAAAGGTCTATAGATATAGATGTATTTCATTAAATTTTTCATAGAAAATTGCTACCAATCTTGTTACATTCTAATCGTTTGCGGTGTTGGTCGTTGTGGAGTGCGCTCTGCTGACCCGCGTCCTCCTCGATGTCGCAGGTGGCTGGCCGCGACGCAGTTCCAGGCGACGGATGCCCGGAGGGCGTTCCCATGCTTCGACGAACCCGACATGAAGGCCACGTTTGCCGTGACCATGGTGCGGCCGAGCAACCTCACCGCCATCTCCAACATGCCGCTCAAGTCCTCCGTCGACAGGTGACGTTTTCCTCGAAGCAGAAGGCATGCATAGACCATTTCAAGCATCGCCTTCCGGATGGTCCCATGTTTGTTTACTGGGCCACGAATCGGGTTATAGAACTATGGATCCGAGGATTCTCCTTTGCTTCCCTTAGTTTTCCCATATCTGACGAAGTGAGTCCGCCCAAAACAACATCCCCCCCCCCCCCCTTGAATATTCTCCGTATCATATTTCCCAGAATAAGGCTACTGCGCATGGTCAGAACGCAATTCACAGCCGAGTAAACAAAGATGGCGGTGGTAAGAATAATCATGTTTCTGACGTCAGGCCAAGGTGATGACGCTGGCAGTGAACGGAGCATGCGCTGACGCGTAGCTCTCTCGTAAACAAGTTCCTGCGCATGCGCAGTTTGTACAATAGCGGTGAGCAGACGCTCAAGTTTCTAGACAACTAGTCGTGTTACATGGAAATATAAATACAGCACCCATTGCTATACTTTGTTTCACCGTACGCGTTAAACCGCAAGGGACGCTACGAATCGTCACAGCCAATGCAGAGCTCTGAACACATCACGTGACCGCCGCTCAACGCGTCGCTCCCGCTGATCTCTATTGTAGTATGGCTTGATCGCGGATCGATGCTTGTCTTGCTGGGGTCGAGTGGCACCACCGGCAGCCATCACTTGACACCAGCTACTGCATGGGACTCTGTGGGAAAAACGAGGAAAAGTGTCGTTTCCCTCGTTTCTAAGTTGTCGGCGCTGAAACGTTTTGGCTGCTTTTCGAAAAGCCTGTCAAATGGCTTGTGCACAAACATTAAACTCGGAGACCTCCCTGTTGTTATAAATGAATGTTTTGTGGTCGAGAATGACTCCGTTGGTCGAAAAGTGTAATGCAACTCAATGAGACGAGAGTTAACTAGAGTTACCGCGGTGGCAGTGGCGGTGGCGGTTTTGATGATTTGGGCTTAGCAGACGACAAACTCGAAGGCTTTGCTACGCGGAATTCACTCACTCTCGGAAAGCCGCTGTAAACATAGAAATTTTTTGACGGTCGTCAACTTCTGGGCTTCCCCGAGGACGGTCTTATTGATGGCGAGTTCCTTCGTTTACTCCACTACGAGAGCAAGCTTGCCGGCTCAGCCGTGGGTGTTCTGGTACGTTCGATTTTCTAATGAGCGTCCGAACGCTCGACGAATACCGATTCCATCATTAAACACCCGATATAATGGTCGCGGCACATCATAAAATACTTGCCATCGAGCACCGCGTAGTAGCTTCAATATTTCTACTTTTGTGCGTTTCTCCTACAGACCTACGTGCATTGCCCGGTGTCAAGTAATGGCCGCCGGTGGAGCCATCGACGGGCTCTCGATCTGCGATCCAGCTTACTACAATAGAGATCAGTGGTCGCTACACTCTACCCGAATTTCACATGACACTCACATGGCAGTGGATTGGCTTCGATGGTTCGGAGTGTTTTGCCAAGCAGAAAAACGGCGACTTTGTGGCCCATCGCTCTTTCGCTTTCTCTCTCAATCCCTCGAATGTGTGTGTGTGTGTGTGTGTGTGTGTGTGTGTGTGTGTGTGTGTGCGCGCGTGTGTGTGTGTGTGTGTGTGTGTGTGTGGAGGGGGGGGGGGACCCCCCTTCCCCCCTTCCCCTTCTGCGCTTTTGAGGGAGGTCGGGACACCAAGCTTTTATGGCGCCTTTTGGTGTTGCAACGAAAATATGCAGAATATTTTCCGTTATAAAATCTACGCATGCCGGGAACCGAAACGCCCTTTGGATTGCGCATATCACGTCTCGAAATAGCAGGTCGCCCAAAACCAAATCATTCTTTTTAAAAACAAATTTGTTTTTCATAGTGTTATATATATTTTTCTAAAGCCAGATTTAGTTTATATAAAACAACCTCGTTTTATAGGACAAAATGCAGTGAGTAGGCGGGCGAGCTGGTGGGAGTTTACCACGATGACTTTAACCCGAGTCTGGGACAGAAGGAGGCCGTTGTTTGCGGGCGCGCGCGTATATGTTAGCGGGCGTGCAGGCGCGCCCTCGTATGAGCTGGCATCTGCGCAAACATGCTTGTGCGACTGTGTGTTATGCGCATGCGTGTAGTGCTGTCATTTCGACGTAGAAAAATCAGTTCGATATCCGCGGAATTTTACAACTTCGTGTTAGCTTTATTAAGCCAACTACATCGACTCAAAAAAAAAACTGAACAATTAAAGTGTATTTTAAAGCCGCAACTTAGTAGAAAAGAATTTGTCTTCGTTAGAACCGCACACTTGCACTTACGACAACCACGTTCAGCAGTGTGCACCGTCGGTGTTCTGTCGATTATAGTCAGTGACAGCCAGAGGGCGTTGCTTATCGTGTTCACACTTGTTGTCTCGCGACTGTAACTGTGCCGTTACTCGCTGCTTTCAGGGGGAACGGTTTGATAGCCGACACCTTCGAAACCACGGTAAAGATGTCCACGTACCTGCTGGCGTTCGTGGTTTCCGACTTCCAGTTTCACGGCAACGAAAAGGTACGTGCTCCCGCGATTCTTCTTCAAACTTGGATCCATAGAAAAGGCGAAGGCTTCGCCCGGACAGCCGTTGGATACGGATGCTTATTTCCGTAGGAGAGAGTCGGAGCAAGAGGGAGGCGACGAGGGACGTCTCTGGAAAAGGAAATGAGCGCGCGGAATCGACGTTCCCGGGGACGCAATTTACTAGCGATAATTCCTACTCCGCCAGAAATGGTGCGAGCGCCCAGCTCGCCAGACGCTGAACAGGACATTTCGTCCCTACTGCTTGAAGCCGCGAGGAGCACAGAGGGGTTTTTCAAAAGTCCGGTCACAAAAAAACTTCATTATGCCGCAGCTGCTCCGAAAATGTCAGGAAACAATTTATTCGCGGTATCCAACTCACAGGGGTTAACTTCAGCTCCTTTCAACATAATCACCAGCCACCTCGAGGCACTTTCGTATTCGATGAATCCAACGGTCGAAACAATCCTGGAAACCATCCGGTTTCGGGAGAGAAAGCTGCTCCTCAACAGCGAAAATGAGGTGTCCTCTTGTCTCAAACGCTCTTCCACGGACGGGTTCCTTCAGTTTGGGGAATAGCCAAAAGTCACACGGCACCAGGTCAGGGGAATAGGCGGATGGAATCAACAGATCAATTCCGGAATCGGCGATGAAGTTCAACGTTGTGCCAGACGTGTGAGAGGGCGCGTTCTCGGGGTGGAGGATATGACGACGCAGTTCCTTCTTGGGGCGACCTCCAAGTAGTTTCTCAAAAACTTTCGGTAGGCACACTTTTGTGTATCATTCAGAGTTCACAGTTCGCCTCTCATCGAAAAGGACAGAGAACACAACACCTTTAAATCCGAAGAAAATGCCAAACATTGTCCTCCCGGCTGATCCGGCGCGGCGAAACCTCTTCGGTGGCTGTGCTCCTTTCGTCGACCACACCATGGATTGAGACTTGGTTTCAGGGTCACTGTTGTAAAGCCAGGTCTCATCACCAGCCACAATTTGTTTCCAAATGGCAGACTTGCTTTCCTCGCATCTTTGGGGGCATTGACGGCAAAAACATCACACGGGATGCCTCGTACTCTGTAGTCAGCTGGTGACGGACCCATTTCGCAGATTGTTTGTTCTAACGAAGGTTTTCAATTTAAAATGTATAAATGAAAGCGAAAACGAGACGAAATGGACACTTGTCTCTACTTCTACCACCAGGCGGTATAACAAGTTTAAACCAATTAAAGTAAATATATAGGGCCGAAATACGGCCAAGAAGTGGTAATTTTATAAAGAAGCCAATTGAAAACCAAGGCTTTCAGTCAAGATTCTACAACTTGACATGGAAGCCATACCAAGGAGCTCCTTCAAATGCTCCAAAGTAACTCGACAGTCTTCCTCAACCGCCGCCTTCGCAGCGGACACATTTTCATCGTGGGTTGCCATTTTGGGGTGCCCTTCACGGCGGGCGTCCTCCACGGAGATATCTCCACTTCGAAAACAATTGAACCACCTGGCAATCATCAAGAGGGTCGGGGCATGCGGGGCTTCACCACCCATAAGAGCTTCTAGCTTCTCGACGCACTCTGCAGGCTTTACAGAAGACAGGAAGTCATAAAGAATAAACGACCGCACGAGCTCCTCCGTGAATGCCGAGTTTTTCATCCCGCCGCCAGCACTCGAATTTTGATTTCTCGTCTTCATAGCTTTCTGTGGTAGAAAAAATCATATCAGTTTTAAAAAAAATCGAGGAAAGAAAGGTTTTCAAGCACCTCTAAAAATTGAAAGTGCTCGGGTGACCGAACTTTTGAAAAAAGCCTATACATGCATGTAAATAAGTAACGTTTTACTTCGAATGCTTTTTGCTATTTTGTAACGAAGTAACGACTTCGTTACTTTTTGAGATCAAAGAAGGCTAACATAATTTAGTATATTACATTTTGTCCAGGTATCCACGGTATCTATAGTAATTTGTTCCCGGAGAAACATGCGCCACGCGTATCTTCTCGTCAACTAAATTCTCGCGGTTTTGGCGACGCGATTCAGAAGCGCCGAAAACGCACCCTAAAGCACGATCCAAACCAACGCTTCTTTTTGCGCCTGTAGGTCGTGCGGCTGCGGATGTGACGCATTTCCTGATGTTTTTGCTGTTTCCGGGCGCGCTTTCTTAGTCAGAACCGTGCGCTTTGGTTTGGACGGGCCAGCTTCACGCAAGCGCGCACGCGCGCAACAGACTGGCCGGCCAGGCCAGTCTGTCGCAGCCAGAAGGCGGCGAGAGAGAGCGAGAGATCGCGTTGTTATGTTGGAAGAGAATAAAAGTGGGGGGAGGAGAGGGCCAATTGTGGATGCGCACCGGGCGCTTTTGTCACTTGCTCTGAGAAGGCGGCGAAGAAACGCGGAGCCGGAACTAGCTTGCCCTCTACCGATTGGCCGGGAGACGGGAGCGCCCTACTACGTCACCGCGCGCTTTTGTGCGCGTTGAGAAAGAAATTGAAATTATCCAACTTTTTTTATGCGCGCCCGGAAGGAGCGAAGAAGTGGCGCGACGTCACGAAAATACGTCACATCCGCAGCCGCACGACCTACAGGCGCAAAAAGAAGCGTTGGTTTGGATCGCGCTTAACCGCTCATTCACACTGGAAGCGGATCCGCGTTCGGAAAGCGTTTGCGAACGTGGTTGTATAAAGATCCAGTACAATTGTACGCGCACTCGATGACTTCAAGTGCGCGTGCAATTGTACTGGATCTTTATACAACCGCGTTCGCAACCGCTTTGCGAACGCGGATCCGCTTCCAGTGTGAATGAGCGGTTAAAGAGGCATCTATTGGGTTGGATAACGTGACAGCGAATATTGGAACACGTCAATTTCAACTGGTTGCTTCAAATAATTGCCCTCGCAAGCTCAAAAGCAAGGAAAATCAAACGTGCCTTGTTAGGAATTGACCTTGCAACGATTGACCTTGCTTTTCGTACCCCGCCTGTATATTTTCTGGCTCCACATCAGTCACCATAGCGTGACAGTAACGAGATAATTAGCACGTTATTTCTGGGTAAAGTAAGTAATTCTTTTTGACACTGTCGAGTGAGACACTACTGCATAGAAAGTAACTATCCTAGGAAGTAACTCATCAAGGTACACTTAGTTACTTTTCAGAGTCACGTGTACATGCCTAGCAGGGGGCAAAATCAAGGGTAGACGAAGCATTGCCGAAGTTTAAAGGGCAACTCCGGTCCATACTTTCGATTTTGGGATTATGACTGTTTTTAGTGCAGTCAGCGTCCCTGAATTGCAAGGTGCAATTTTTTTCTCGTTATTGCGCGTATTTTTAAAGATATCGACGCATGAAAATTTTGTTTGGCGCGCGGCCAACATAACCGAAACTAGCCGCTCGAGGCCCCGGCAACACTGGAAATCAGCCGCTATGTGAACGTGACGTCACGATCGTTCTCGTTCAACGAGTACGCAGGCCGGGCGCCACCTACCTCTGTTGCGCTAGCCGTCTAAAGATAGGAGCTAAGCTGATTTTGTTTTAATTCTGTATACGTGGTAGTTATCGACCATATGTAGCAAGAGTTAGTGCGTATAACCAAAACCTAGCGACTGGAAAACCCGTGAACTTGTACGGTGCCGTACTCGGCGGCCACCGCCGTGCGTGCGCTATGCCGTACTCGTCGCTCGTATACCCAAAAGCTAGCGACTGGAAAACGAGTGAACTCGTTCGGTGCCGTACTCGCCGGCTGTCGCCGTGCGTGTGGCCTTCCGTACTCGTCGCTAGGCCTAAATTGTCATCTGGGCTCCGTGGATGGAGAGGCGTTGCCTTACGCCGCGCTGCCAGTGACGTACAGTACTGGGGGCCCTCTCGCTTTCGCGCTGCGGGTCAGTCCCAGACACGAAGGTTTGAGGCTCCGGCGCGGGCCGCGGCGCCCGAACACGCGTGTGCTGAGCTTTACACATCTGTCTTTTCGTTGTTTTTTCCTCGGGTGCATAAAAGCCGAAGTCCAAAGTCCACTCGTCGAACAGCGTTCACCCACACCTTCTCCGATTTCCGGTCCGTCGGGCACTTGTGAAAAAGCACCTCCGTGTTTTGCAGAGGGTTGTTTGAGCAGCCCACAGCGCTACAAGTTGCACTCGGCATCTTTAGAGGAACAGCTGGGCAGTCTTGGGTGCACCGAGTTGCTCGCTAAAACGAGTCTCGGAGTCCTCACAAGGGCAAATAAACAAAAGGCTATACCGAAGCTACACGGGCTACAAATAAAAGCAACGGCTAAACACGCCAATCACAAGCCGAAGTAGCGGTGGTAGTGGCTCAAAAAAGCGCACTCCGCGCAACGCCCGCACCGGAGGAAAAAAGAGAACGATGCGGACGTCACGGCCCAATGTTGCTTTAGCGATCGGCAACCCGCTGGCCGCCCGCTAAGGAGCAGCGGCTCGCGGCGGGTCGCGTTTTTATTATCGGCATTAGTTGAGAATGCGGCGTCCTACGGAGTCATATTTTGTGTCACTACAGCGATACCAGTAATTTATTTCATTTTGAGTTTTGGTCGGAGTTGCCCTTTAAACATGATGGCAAGCGACGTTGTCCCATCTATATGGAGCGTGGCACAAGCGCTGCAAAAACCAAGTTATGCGGAGACACGCGGGAAGCTTTTTAACGTATGATACGTTCATGGGATCGCCCCCGTTTCTTCCCCGGCGCCTAAGACCTGGGTCATGCACTTGCTACGGATTACGGCTGAGTGCGTTACAACGTCTCGTGATCTCTTACGACGGAAGAACGCACTGGCACCATCTGTCCGGCAGCCTGGAAACACTTCCGGTTCCCGTGTTTTTATTTTGTGTGTGCGTGTGTGGGGGGGGTGGGGGGGGGGGGGGGCATTATTCTTTGTCTTTTGGCTCGAGAAGCTTTTGACACTGTTATAAATGAGTATTTCTCATAACGATGAGTTAAATTTGATCTCGCGAATTCTGCAAAACTTCGCTCTAACGAAATGCAGCTCCCGGGCCACCTCATAGATGGCGCCAGCGTTTTATTGCATTCTGTCGTCGTAACTGTAACAGATCACAAGAGCTTGTAACGCACTCGGTTGTAAGCTAACGCGTGTGTGTGAACAAGCACTAAGTGTGACGAAGAAGCGTAGGCTCACCTGCTGAATTTAGTCGGCCCTTTTGCGTCTCAAAATTCTCCCAATTTAGCGGGGCGTAGAGTCACGTGGAATGGTGACCTTATGTCTCGTGGTCAGATGACCCACCGTGGGACAAGGTTTCTGACATTCGCGTTCAGAAGCAGACGTTGCGGTGCGCGCATGAACGCGGCAATGCTGGAAGTGTTTGAGAAGTGTCACTGTTCGTTTTGCTGCTCGACAATACGGAAACGGTGGCCTCAAAGTAAATTCGTAGCAGGACCACTGATCTTTTTTTTCTCTCGAATTTCCAATGCTGCGGACCGCTAATGTCATACTCTTTTTGTTTTATAGTTAATTCGTGATTTTCAGGTAGTCCCCAAACTTGATGATGTAAAGAGCTACTAGTATTCATGTAAAATGTCAATATTTGTATATAACTTTTCGTAAATATAGATTCAGAATGGGGTTAAATGTCCTGTAATTGTGGAATGTTTAATAAAGCACATACCGATTGAGCTGAAAATATTAACAATAATAAGGAATTCAGAACTCCGGCCATTTCACGTTTCTCTGAGAGTGTCTGGATACATGAATGGCTCAATTTTGTTGCAGTTCAAAGTGTGGGCGCGGGCAGACGCCATCACTGCAGTGGAGTATTCCTTGTCCATAGGGCCCAGGATCCTGGAGTACTACGAGGAATACTTCTCCATAAAGTATCCGCTTCCCAAGACAGGTGAGCTTCTCCGCGCTGCGCGAACGAAAAAGGGCCCCCTCGTGCCCCTTTGCTGCCAAGCTCGCATACAGCCAATCACTACCACGAACGGACTGGATACGCGCTCGCTGTCTTACGACCTCTCTAGTGAGGCATGACAGCACCTATGGTTCTGTCATGCCTCTCGAGTGGCACTACCGGATAGTTGGCTGCGGGCGCCACTGGGTAGCCCGAAGCTGCGCCACGCACAACCGTAAATGAAGATTTACCGTTCACAACGAAGTCTTCCCTTTGTATCCTCTTCTTCCATGGGGTGCTTAGCGATTTCTCGCTGGACAGCTTTTTGGAAATGCTCGTCAGAAGTCTTCCCTGATATCGACTTGCAGTTCAGATCACAATTGAGCCACACGAAGCGGAACCCGTTGAGCAGTAGGGTGGAACAGTGGGAACAGTTGGGTCGTAGCGCCCTGTGCACGTAAAACGATGCGCATGCTTTCTCCTGAGGCGGAACAGGCCGTGTGAACAAGAAACGTTCAAATCGACCATGTTGCTACACACATCCCAAAGAGGGACCATGGAAATTGACAGCAATAGCACACCTTCCGATAATCCATCCATTCATCACCTCCATTATCCATCGTCTGGCTACACCGTGACCCAGCCTTATAGGACCCAGTCTGTATGCCATTCCCTGGTTTATCTTTTCTTTATGCAACTAATTCGAAGAGTGATTGGTGACACCCTTTAATGATGTGCGGCCTTGTCTTTGTCACAAAGGGTATATTGCCTAACCTGGCTAATGGGCGGCCAGCGATTGCTCTTTCCGCGCGCATCGCGCGTGCACAAACGTCTGGGAGTATCATACATAATAAACCGACCTCCCTAGGCGTTCGGCGCATGCGTGACGCCACCATAACTTTAGTTCACAGGAGTAAGACGGCCGTGCGTGCGAGTCCTCGTGTCGTCTCGTGCTCCACGCTCGCAGAGCTCCAGCGGGCTTGTTGCACGTGCAGAAAGACTCAAGTTCCCTCGATGCATTGCGGCAGCGGTGAGATCGGCCTATTTAAAAATTGGTCTGTCTCAACTAGGCCGTCTCTGCGGACGAACTCAACTGCGCTCTTTTGGACGGAGAAGCTTCAACTCCGCCTCCACCACGCATGGGCGCGCGAGCGGATATTGCTGTAACGGCTGCTCGATTATGGTTCGCTGGGAACGGCTTGTTGAATGACCCTTTTGGCGGGGGAAAGTGAGTTGTATTGCTCCTGGCGGTGCTGACCAGCGGTCAGGGAAAAAGCCCCTTGATGTGTCTGTGTTCATTTTACAAGCGGCGTCAAATGCGCCAATGCTCAATGCCCGTGCCTCGTGTGTCTCTTGGAAGCAAATGGCGGCGGAGCATTCTCTCGCGACACGTGTTTTGCGCGTTCCCGAAAGAATGATTTTCGGCACTTGTAAGAAACGCCACGCGTGAACTTTATCGAGAGAATTTAGTCACTGAAGGAGGCGACGAACGAGTGGGAGGGGCGGGAGGCCCGAGGAAACAAAGCAAAGGCATTGGTCGTGCTCCAGCGACGGACTCAAAAAACTCGACTGGATCACTGCATCTGCGCACGACCGTCTTGGACATGTTACTCGAGAAAAAAAAAAAACTCATCGATTACATATACAATTACTCTCGTTTAAAAGGTATTGAATTAGATCTACTCGACTTCTCGAGAACAAAAAATTAATTGGTCGTAACTCGAAGAAGTAATCTTTACTTGTCTAATTACTTAATATTTTCAAACGACAGTTTTCTACTGGTTTGGAAGTGGGTCTTTCGTAGTGTCCATTATTGAATTGGAACCACCGAATCGCGACCTACTTTTTGGGAAACCTTCCTCATGTCAGTGATTTGGTTCGAACATTCCTCGGGAAGAAACGTGCACGAACAAAGGGCGCTATTAGCCCCGAGAGCGAACACAAGCGTCGCTGCGGTCGCCGCGCTCTGATTGGGTGAGGCGTACCGTGACGTCAGGGCGAGTACTCCGCTCCGCGATCTCGCATCGGCTCGCTTCCCAGCACCGGTTTCTTGGTTTGGCGATGTGCGCCGCAAGCTCTTCGAGGAGCAGGACATCGTTTTCCCGGTGTACAAGACGTTAAGTTAGGCCGATGTTGACGTGCTCCCGTACATTTTATAAGCCTGCTCGTCCCTTTTACCTTAAAATTGGGTTACAAATCCCGAAAGCAATCGACGGAGGCAATTTTGCGAGGGATCGGTGAAGCGGTGCCGCAAGTGTTTCAGACGCTGGAATTCTGTTCCTTGCACGTTCATCATTTAGGACGATATTAAATCCCGCTTTCAAGGCATTTGAAGTGGCATTTATATAATGGGCCTTTGCGTGGTCGGCAAATGAGCTCGCGACTCCGACTTTGCGCTGCCACTCTGCATGCGCTGGTTCGCAGATGTTTCAAAGGCCGTGTGTCTGATTATCTTTGAAGTGCTCATGGAACAGGGTTGTCTTACATAAATGTAGCGTCTTAGTGAATTAATTATATAGTTTATACATGTATGCAGGCATATTTCTTAAAAGATTCCCAATTACTGGAAATTAGTTTGTATGGTAGCAGCAAAGACGGCCGAATTGCCTCCAGTTGCCTGTATGCTATGTATTGAACTGCCCAAAATATGCACCGCAATAGTGCCGTAATTTGGAATGTTTATATTTTTTCCTGACATTTTTATTCCAGCCTTGGGTATTCAGAAAATACACCGTTTAGTCTGAATTGTCATTTCCAATTAAAAGAGACACTGCTCCAGGTCTCCAAAAGCTTCCTCAGCCTCCAAACTCCCTACAGCTGGACTCTCTGACAACAGAGGAAAACAGGAGTAAAAGCAAGGATTCGAACGTCTGTCCAGTGGTAGATGCAGCACTAGTAGCATAAAATGTGGAACCTGTGAAGGGCGACAGTCTGCGTGAGAAAAGCTTCTGGTATTTTAGCTTCAGTACATTTCAATTTAAGTAAAATCTCAATTTTAGGACTTAATGGACTAATAACGAGCTAGACACCTTCGCCTACGTTTGTTATACATTACTTGAGGGTTGATATAAACAAGTCCACAGATACCACCCGTGTATTCCATTGAAATACTATCCGAATCCAGCAAAGGTCAAATGCGAGCAATGTATATAATAAATGTTCCTTGTTTTTTTTTTCCTTTGCCCCTGCACTTGGGCTGTCTTACTTGTGATTCTCTCCCCATGGCCCAGACTGTATTTAGCATGTTGCCCAAGCAGCATGCAGCTTTTCTGCTTCGGCGATCTTGTTTAAAAACGGAGACACAAAAAAAATAGTATACGTAACCTGCCAATTCATCCAAACCATCAGCAGCGTTTATTGTGTGAGATGTAAATCTATAGTGATGCTCCTGCAATTGTGGCCATATTTCTGTATTTTCATATACCAGCTCCGATTCATGCGTTGCCTGCCCTGTCTACCATGCTTAAAATGTTGGTTGAAGTTTCACCTGTAGCTACAAGCCATACCTCAATAAAGGCACATATAAACGGTTATACTTCCTACGAAAAACATGCCAGAAAAAAAATATAGAAATGAGCGCGCCGACAGCTAGCGTCGTCACAGCCTCCACAGGGCGAGCGGCGCGAGTCGGGGAAAAATTCACTCCTCGCCGTGACGTCACCCCGGTTTGCCGTAAGGGGGCGCCACGCCAACTTCTCGGGGCTAATTACGTACGGGAAAGGAAAAAAAAAACGGTTACGAATACTTTTAATACTTTCAAAAGTAGTCTAATTCCTGTTGCGATTACTTTTGTAATAAATGTAATCGAATAATACCAAATTACTCTAAAAAGCAATCGATTACGAGTGATTACTTGCAATGAGTAGCCTACAAGTCTGTACGCATATTCCGGAGAAGCTGCATACCGCAGCGAAGCGGCAGTGATCGAGCGGCCGTGACTTTAGTGGAGCAAACACTCGCGCATGAAAAGCACTGTCAGATGCTACGGCCCTCCCATTACACTGCATGCCAAGAATTCTTGATACTCGTCTATTCGCGCAGTCTGGACTGTTTTGTATGCATCCTGCGTTAGGATTGACACGGAAATTGCTACGGCATAGAACAAATAGAACCCTTCTATTCGGTTTACTTCCTACATTTTTCTTTCGAGGTACGTGGTTTGGGGAACATGACAACTCCGGTCACCGCGGCTTTCGTACTGTCAGCGTTCCGCCGCACAGCTTCGCACGCACGCTTTGCATGTTTGCGGATTCCGATTGACGAGCGGTTCCTCCGTGCCACGCGTGTCGGAGCGCTTGGAAAAACTTTCGCTCTTTTTATAGAAACGGTCAATATAGTTTGCGGAAAAGAAAAAAAAAAAGGATGTCGTTCTTTTCTTTTTTTGGCGACGACTTTCCTCCGCTTTCATTTGGGACCCTGTCCGTGTCGGTCAATACGGGACGCGCCACCGGTGTATGCCGTGCTTGAATGGTTCACGATGCAAGCGCAGCCACGGAGGCAGTCATGCAAGAAGCCGAGGTCTTTTTATTTTTTCTTCTTTGTCGTTTTCCTTTGGCGCCTATTTTGCCTTTTGCACGGACACCCTTCGAAGGCCAGTTTTTCTCTCCGTTTTCCGGTCCTCGTCCTGGCCGTTGAGAGCGAGATTTGATGTATATCGCAATGTCGCTGGCTCCTCCGTGCTTCCTCAACGAAAGGTCCTCACTGCTGATCTCCATCACTCGTTCGGTTATATTGGAGTAGCTTCTATCTAATCTTTATGGTACGCTCTAAAAAGGCTACTTTCCCGTCGAGCACTCGGGCGAGAGCTAATCCTACAATATACGGAGGAAGCTCGGCGAACGAAAAGGCTGAAACTATACGAGGGCGATTCAGACATTTTTCGTACTCGAGTTATTTTAAAACGCCCGTCGGCCTCTTATCAGCGCCTTTCGTACGATGTCGCCGTGTCTCCAGTCACTACTGTGCAGGTTTAAACGTGCTACAGTAAGTTCGCCCCAGACTGC